TCAAGGAAGAGTGGGAACCGGAACAATTCCCAGTTTTCTGCGAACATCTTCCAAATCTTCATGAAAATGCTGCTCATAATACACACACATTAGATCATTGCACTGTGTGCCAGCACGAACAGCCCATGGGAAGTAGTGCTGAAAAAACAATTTTCTCTGTTTCTCGTTGAATCTTGCTGTGCCCCCTATAACAGACATCATGCACATAGGAAGATACATCTGTTCAAACTCAATTACTTTCAGTGCTGACTCCCCAATCAAGTTAGTAGGAAGGTCAAAAAGGGTATGCCAGAAGTCATGTACTTCACGAGCTCGCATGGCAACATACGCCAGCTCATCTGTATCCATGAACCGCACAGGAGGTCGATCATCTGGTGAAAAGTTTCTGGATCCCATAAATCTAGCATAGGCAGCACCAAATGTATTTGCTGGCAGGTCCCAAGCATGTCCTACATTTGCAGATACAACACGAGGGCGCTCCAATAGTACTGCCTATTAAACATGATTATACAAGAAAAAGTGTCAGTATTTTCTGTTTGACGGAACAAAATTTCCACGTGATCAGCAAAGTAAAGAAGGACAATTATTTCAGAGATAGCAATGAGAATCATTTTAAGTGACAAATATTTATACAAAGAGCACTCAACATTTAACTTCAACGAGCACTCAACATTTAACTTCAACGAGAACAAGATGGTATCATAACATGATGAGCAAGGATAACAACATGATGTATATTTAAAATAAAATGAAATTAAGTAAAGAGGCAATGAGAAATGATTACCGACCCTTCCTTCGGGGGAAGATTTCATCCTTTGAAGAACCCTTTCAAAGGCAGGTTTTCCAGTTGTTTCACCAAGAGCCGCTATCAAATCAGCTCTTCGCGGATTCAAAAGTGCTCCGACCGCCGAACCAAATGCCACTGCTGCCTGCTGCCATGACTTCAGCTTGATTCTACCGCCATCCACCATTCCAACTTCCTTGTTAAATCTAAAACATAACAAAATATAATATCATTATCCATTTTGGTTTGATTATTAGATTAAGAAAAAACAAGACATGACTTATGGGGTAGAGAGTGAGATTATCAGTGGAACATCAACATGTGTGATCGCGAGGGGAATCTCCTTTCATTCAACAAGTTAACTAACCAATCATTTAGTAGCCTAGTGAAAAGGAAAGAAAACAGAAAGTTGAGCTCATTTCCAAAATTACTTAGGTAACAAACCCTAATTTCTCAATACTCTTCAATGTTTTAAAGTGCATATCAGCCACAACCAATAACCCTAAGAAGCGCTAATTAGAACCTTAATAAGCATGAAAAGAACCTTAAATTCTCATCAACATTCACTTTACTCTCAAGCAAATTCAGATTTCCAACGCAACTCCGGATGGGTAAAGTTTATAAGTCCCATTCAAATGAAACTGATATGATAATTGCTAAGGTAAAATGAGTGTATGTGTCCGAAATTAACACCGACATTTGTGATTACTTTTAATTGATTCATTTATTCAAATTATTACTGGTGCCGCCGACATGTCAGTGTTGGTGCCCCGTTTCCGGTGTCGGTGCATCATATATTCCTATTCTTCATCATTCTATCCAGATCATCAACATTCTCATTTTCCCAATAATTCACCAACTCAAGCCCCAACCTCTCAATAGTCTCATCAGAAAAGGCAACATAAACAGAAAAGGCCACACTACCAGCTTGCACTTGACACCCATGTGCCCCCAAAACCCTTCATCATTAGCCTAATCCCATTATAATCGGCAACAATAAGCAACAGTAACAAGCAAAAATCAAAACAAAAATTAGGAACAAGCAACAATCACAATAACAACAAGCTAATTGAATGGAAAAGCAAGCAAATCGATCCAAATACAAGGAACAAGCAAAATTCGCAACAAAAAAAGTAAACAAATCGACCGGAAATACGATGAACATGATGAATGAATACCTGAGTTGAAGAGTGAAGATGGAGAAGACTCGCTAGGGTTCGTGTTTTGGCTTTGGATTCTAATCAACCTCAGCGCTATTTTAAGCCGTCAGATTTAATCAAAAGGTGAAATCTACAACAGTCACGGTGGAGAACCCGCTGCAAGTAGCGACGGTGTTTCTGATTGTTTCGGAAGCAAAATTCTTTTTGCTAAATCTCTTTCTCCCATTCTCATTATTTCATCGAATAAATAAAATTAAAATTAATGAAAGTAATCAATTTAACTAAACTATCAGGAATTTGATTCTTAAATTATTAAAATTATTTAAAAATATTTAAACTCTTGCCTAATTTTATATTGAATTTAATTAGAATACATAAACATTTGTAAAAGAATTTACGTGGTCAATAAATTACAGATGTTGGACATTGAAAAAAGTTTAACTTTTATTTTATAAAATAATGTGTTTTGAACTGGGTCAGAGGCTGCCCTATTGTCGGCACGACCCAACTCATTTCTTTGTCGGGGAGGGTACAATAAAGACACAGATTATCACATCACACGGGGAGCACTCACGCGTCTCTCCCACGGACTCCACGTGCCCCTCCACGTGGCGACATGTCATCAGTCAACTACCCACCTACCGAAGATCACTGGACAGTTGACACAGGGCGAAGACCACGTGCTAGTCTTCCCTACCCCACGTAAATCCTGACAGTTACTCGTATTGGGCCTAATGATCCAACCCAATGCAAAGTAACCATTGGCCCCTGTTGACTGGAAGATTTCGAATGGGAAAATTTGACATAGAAGCTGACTTGTGGGTCAACAGGCTAGGAAAGGTGGTGAAGGAAACAAGGTAAGTAGACGCCAGCAAAAGAAGGTTGTAAGTCGACTCAAGGTTATTCCGTCAAAAGTGTCGAGTGATGGCCAAGAAAACCGACACTAAGTATGAGAACTTTTGAGTGAGAAGAAAATTTGAAAAGTTAAGACCATAGGGAAGTTACAAAAGTGGTGGAGGGACACATGGTGCCACCAAGACCAACATAATAGTTATTTTCTTTTCCTATTTAAGGCAATACCCATTTTCATTTTAAAAGGGGCGCATTTTGTAACATTGTAAGGGAAAAACACTTTGAGTACCAAGCGTTAAGAGAAAAGATTCCATTTCTGGAAAATGTATGATCGCGTCCACATTTTCTTTTAAAAACAATTTAGATTACCAAACTTTAAGATATCATAATTTTTTACTCGTTTATTTTATTTGTCCTTCATTTGATATACACATTTTATTCGAGTTTGTTTCCAATTTATTCTAAACAAAACCATTCTACCACCGTCGCATAGACTCGACCAGATAGTTCTGAAACTTGTTTGACCAGTCCCGCAAGTAAACCTGCGTTAGGAGGTCAGAGGTTGTTCACGCAAAAACTGTGTGGGAACAAGGGGGCACATTATAAATACCCTCTTTCACAAGAGGGTCAGGTATTTTATTCTCTCTACACCTTTTATGTACTTGCCTTTCTCTTACTCCGTATCTTACTTTGGTATCGGAGTACCTTGCAGGTACACCCCCCCTCTTCTCCACCACCGGCGAATTAAGGAGCTCACGATATGTCGCTGGCCGTTGATCCCCTTCTGATCCGGTCAGATCAGTGGCGCCGTCTGTGGGAAACTTGTTTCCCCGTTCTTTCCCCGACAATCATGCTCTCCCCCGTGGAGATATTGTCGCCTGATTTCTCGCAGCCCGTCCTCGCGACAACGTGATGGGCAAGGTTGTTAGAATCGAGTTTTTATCTTGACTCATTTTGGCTAGGTAAAATCGAAACATAAAAGCAAACGTAAAATCGTAGAGTTTATCTCATATTAAATATATTTATATATATAATAAATTTATGCTTTGACTATGTAACTTAATAAAAAAAATTAATATATGTGTTTATATATACATATCCAACAACTTGTAAGAATTATGGTAATTGGAAAAGATAAGCTTTAAAACAAAGAAAAAAGCTCTTGTCCGGCGTCGTATAAGTGAAGTGACGTTAGGGTTCAAAAGTTTTTAATTTTCATTGCTATGGTAAATGAAAAGTCTAATGTCTAATGAAAAAGAGGTTACTTAAAGTGAATAAAATAATAAAGTGGGAAAAGTTTTATTTTGCTAGCCTTTTTAAAATTTCAAAAAGAAAAGGTAAAATCAAGTTAGAGTAAAATCTAAAGATTTTACAGATTTCAGAGAGATTTAAATCGTGTAAAATGTTCCAATATAAGATTTTATTTAAAAACGATTTTACATACGATTTAACACCAAATACTGACCTAGAAACGTAAAATCTATGTGTTTAGGTTTTAAATCGTGATTTTAACAACCTTGGTGATAGACCTCAGAGTCCCTCTCCACGAAAACCTGGGCGTTATCCGCAACTGAAAAGGGCTCAGCTCGTGGCCACCCAAAAGCGTGACCATTCTCCTCACAGAAAGAGCGACGCTCCCCGACTCCCAAGAGAAGCAGAGTTGACGGGCAGACTCGGAAATCGAAGAGTCATCCGAGGAGCCCTCCACGCCGCGCCAGGAGCCCTCAATATGACTCCTTCCCGTCACAATCACCTGTCAGAAGCAACGAGGAATACCCCCACACTTTGTTGTCCAGGGCTATCACGGAGACTCGCCTCCCCGTCGGGATGGAGAAGGCCCCAGCCTTGGCCACCTACGATGGTACGACCGACCCGGACGACCACATTAAAAGCATCGATGTGATGCTCGACTATCGAAACATTCGAGGAACCATCAAGTGCAGGCTCTTTCCCACGACCCTGAGGAAGGGCACAATGGCGTGGTATAAGAGCCTCGAGCCCGAATCCATCACCTCTTAGAGAGAGCTGAAGAGGCAGTTCCCCAGGAACTTCACCACTTCCCGGCGACACCCGAAGACGGAAGCATCCCTGGAAGCCACCAACTGCACCTACATCGAATACGAGGAGAAGGAGGCCACTAACTACACCCACGACTCGCAGAACCAAGAGAGTGCCAAAAATTCCAGGCACGAAGACGCCACCGCTCCCCGACGAGGCGAGGAGAGAGAAAGAGATGATCGGCCCCGAGACTCCCGGGAGAAAAGGGGGCCATCAAGCTGATTCATCGAGTATACGCTACTCATAGCTCCCCACGAGCGTATTTTGGCCGAGTGTATTAACTCGGAGTTCCAAAGAGGTGGTGTTCGCTTCCCGAAGCCGACACCCCCTAAGCCCAACGTCGACAAGTTCAAGTACTGCCGATTCCACAGGAGTCATGGACACGTCAGGAAGATTGCATCCACCTCAAGGATGCCATCGAAATCCTAATCAAGGAGGGGCACCTGGAATAATACACTCGAAGGAACGAGGTTCCTCGGCATGAAACTCGCGAGGCGAAAAAGGTCGAGAAGATGTATCCATCCTTCGACGAGACCGGACTACAAGTCACCCTGTGCATCTCCCGCCCAGAGGACTTCTACCTCCCTTACGATGTCGACATATCGTTGTTCGCTCGTAGCCCTTGGGAGAACTTCTCAGTCTCAATGGTCATATCCGACGGGGTCCCAACAAGCTTTCAGTAGGGTTGGTCAAGAGGAAATTTGAAGAGCTGGTCGACAAGAGTTCAAAGCAGAACGTTACCCTCGATAAGTTCAAGGATAACTCGAACCCGATTACCTTCTACCTTGAGGAGCTGCCTGGTGGCACCCCCAATTCTAGCATCCTCCTACTAATCAGGGCTCAGATGGTGAACTTCAACATCCACCACATTCTCGTCGACCAAGGAAGCTCGTTGGACATAATATATGTCCACCTATTCACCATTCTCCATCTCGGTGAGAGCCAGTCGACTCTGACTTGCAGGGCTTCAATGGCACCACCACAAGACCATAGGGCTATGTAGAGTTGCTCGTCACCTTCGGATCCGAAGAGACTGCAAGATAGGTCAAGGTTCGCTTCTTGGTAGTAGAGTATCCCTCTCTGTATGAATGCATTCTGGGAAGGCCAACCCTGGCCG